CGAATTTCCAGATATCCTTCACCTTTCTTGTCTTTCACTCCCATTTTTAATAACTTCTCTGCTACCAGTATTTTGTACTTCATTTTTAAAAAGTTCATCCAGGGGCCCGGTGTGGTGGCGCAAGTGGTTAAGGTCCTCGCCTTGCACGCCCGGGATCCCATATGGGCGCCGGTTCTAGTCCCGGCAGCCCCGCTTCCCTTCCAGCTCCCTGCCTGTGGCCCGGGAAAGCAGCCGAGGACGGCCCAAGGCTTTGGGACCCTGCACCCGCGTAGGAGACCCGGAAGAGGCTCCTGGCTTCAGATCAGTATAGCATTGGCCGTTGCACTCACTTGGGGAGTGAATCATCGAACGAAAGATCTTCCTCTCTGTCTCTCCTCTCTGTATATCCGCCTTTCCAATAAAAAAAATAATAATAATAAAAATAAATCTTTAAAAAAAAAAGTTCATCGGGCCCGGCGCGGTGGCGCAAGTGGTTAAAGGTCCTCGCCTTGCACGCCCGGGATCCCATATGGGCACCGGTTCTAATCCCGGCAGCCCCGCTTCCCTTCCAGCTCCCTGCTTGTGGCCTGGGAAAGCAGTCGAGGACAGCCCAAAGCTTTGGGAACCTGCACCCGCGTGGGAGACCTGGAAGAGGCTCCTGGCTTCGGATCGGCATAGCATCGGCCCGTTGCGCTCACTTGGGGAGTGAATCATCGGATGGAAGATCTTCCTCTCTGTCTCTCCTCCTCTCTGTATATCCGCCTTTCCAATGAAAAAATAATAAAAATAAATCTTTAAAAAAAAAAAAAAAAGTTCATCCAGCTCTTATTATCTTTTTTTTTTAAAGATTTATTTTATTTTTATTACAAAGTCAGATATACAGAGAGGAGGAGATAGAGAGGAAGTGGAGCTGCTGGGATTAGAACCAGCAACCATATGGGATCCCAGTACATTCAAGGTGAGGCCCTTAGCCACTAGGCCACGCAACCAGGCCCTCTTATTATCTTCCAAAGTAGCTTCTCACCTTTCTTTTGGTCTAATCTCCACATTGATAAGTGAACTTTCTAAAAAGCAACACTGCCTAGAAACCCCCCACGACTCCCTCCCTATACCTTCCAGGATGCTGCTTTGGTGTCTTAGCAACTCTTGAGCACCTGTCTCTTGCACTTCTCATCTCTCATCACTTTATCCACTTCCTCATTCATCCTGCATCCTATACTTCAGTCATACAAACTATCAAAGCACCTTTTTAAAAAAGTTTCATTACTGGTTTTGCTATTGGGAAAATTTATATTTCTTTCATTATTTTGCAACCCCAATACACTCCCCTCCCATGTGTACTATCATTCTTGAAACCCCTTCACACTGTCTGGGTTTAATGCTCCCACAGAATCTGTCTTACATTTACATTCTTGGTACTTGCAACATAATATACACTCAATAATTTTCATTAAATAAGTAAGGAACATGTAAGTGACTGACTACTATATGAAATCTGGGTATTTAACTGAACCTTCAAGGCCCTCCACAGCAAAGGTCTAACCAAGCAATTCTGAACATGCCATGCTGTGACACTTCTAATAAAGAAATGCCCCACTTCACTTCCAGCTCCCTGCTTGTGGCCTGGGAAAGCAGTGGAGGACAGCCCAATGCTTTGTGATCCTGCACCCATGTGGGAAACGTGGAGGAAGTTCCTGGCTCCTGGCTCTGGATCGGTGCAGCACTGGCAGTTGTGCTCACTTGGGGAGTGAATTATCAAATAGAAGATCTTCCTCTCTATTTTTCCTCCTCTCTATATATCTGACTTTGTAATAAAAATAAATAAATCTTTAAAAAAAATTTTCCTTGTGATTGACCCAACCTCACTGTACTACTTATTCTGAAATAAGTGTTCTATATTTTATTCATTCTTATTTGATTACACATATTTACTATGATCAATTTTTACTATGCAAAGTTCAAGTGTAATTTTTAGTGCTTCGTATTCAGTTCAGTGTGAAAGAGAATTTCTTCTTCAAAGGCTTAGAGAAGAATGGATATGCTTATGTCGGCAAGTGTGCAAGAAGCCTTCCCTTTCTAGTAGTTTATTCTGTATCTTTTCTCGAGTTATAATCTGCAATCTATACAAAGAAATATTCTTCTATATGGCTAAATGTAGGCAAATGGGTAAGTATTATAACAATTATTTTACTCTTGTGGCAATTCATAAATTGTTTACAGTTCATTCTCAAACGATGCTCCAGCAGTCATCCAGGAATGGTTCCCAGGATTCTCACTTACTTGTGATCAGGTCAGTTTGATGAAATCTGTACAAATTGAGGAGGAAATTGGGAGATCTGGGGAGGAGTGTACACGAGGGGGTGATGCAGTCTCGTTTCTGGCAAATTTCTAATTACATAATCTGGCATGTTCATAATTCATATAATCTATAATAAATGGACCTCTGCCCCATTTGTATAAAAATAAGAAATGGTGTACAGCTTTGTGGCTAAGAGGGTTAGGTTGTTTCTTATGATGCCAGCATTGCATTTGGGTGCAAATGCAGTCCTGGCTGCTCCACTTCTGATCCAGCTCCTTCCTAATGAGCCTGAGAAAGAGGCAGATGACGTCTTAAAAGAGTGAGGGCCTGTGACATGCAGAAGAGAGACCTGACTCCTGGCTTCCACCTGACCCACTCTCAGCCACTGCAGGCATCTGCGGAGTGAACCTGTGGCTGCAAGATCTTCTCTGTTTCTTCCTTACTCTCAACACTGCTTTCCAAACAAGTAAGGGAAACTTAGAAAAAAATTAAAATGGATTATTTCTGGGTTTCAAATGAAATAACACATGTGAAAACACTAACTGTTTAAAAATACTCCTCGACTTTTCAGATTTTCTCTGTTCCTGTTAGGTATTTCTGAATCACTAATTGCTTTATTTTTCTAAAAACTAAATTTCCTATTAAACCTGTGTTAGAGTTTTAGTAAAAGACACCAGCTGATTTTTAAAGGAATTTTCTCCCAACAAGAATTTATTCCCTTAATTGAAGGAACTAAAGAGAAATAACATTTATCCACGACCTCTGCAATGCTCTGGTTTTCTTAAACTTTTTAAGTTACTTGTTTCCCAAATATGGAAACTGAAAATTGGTAAGAGCTTTAAAAATGAAGACATTAGCATTCCTACAGTGCTCATTTCTGAATGCCAGCATCCACAATAATGCAGCCACAGCCAACAAGCATGTAAAACAGTGATTGGCAGAGTAACAGGCAACAGAAGTGGTCCTTTAGGTGGAAGTAACAGACACCTTGCAAAGTTAAGTTCATGCAAATAGCAAGTAAGAGCCAAAACTTAATCACGTAAGAGCTGAGAAAACAATATTTAAAAGGAAATGTAAAGTATCACAAAAATCCCACAAGATACCAGCTCATTGTTACAAAATGTATAAAGCTATTAAAATATTTATAGATAATTAAAGAACACTCACATACATTTTTAGCTATTGAAGATTCACGTACAACTTTAGGAAAAAATTTTGCTTCATGATGTATTAATTTAAACACTTAAGTTTAAAATATTTTTATAAAATGAACACTAAGTTTTTAAGTTTGCTAATATTCTGGACTTAATACTTTTCAAATACATTTTTAATAATGAAATACTATATCAAAACATATTTGTGACATTTTAATTATAAACTTTTATTACAGTTACCAAATCAGTATTATTTAAGAAGAATGGTAACTTACTTAATTCTCTACCTGCTCATTATTCAAACACTGAAATATTACAACAACATGAACCTGCACACACATCTCCCTCCCAACAGTAAATTAGTGATTATTATGTTTTCCTTTTTATTTTTGCTGATTATTACCTTCTGGGGAAAAGAAAAAGCAACTTGCCTATAGAAAAATCCTAGGGAGTCAGCAGTATTAATTAACAGTAATTCTATCTCTAGAGAAGGCAAGTAATTACTATAGCTGAAAATTCTGTTAGCATTCTTAGTTTAGTTTCTCAAAACTGTCTCTTTTTAGGGAAGAATTATTTTCATTTCCATAAAGCTTTCAGATGCTGGAATAGTTTAAAAAGAAAAAAAACCAGCATACATGAGGGAACAACCTGAATAAAGAGGCAGAACTAGCTCTTAGCTTTGGCTTGGTCCAGTACTGGCCACTGAGCCTACCAGGAGGGCGAAGTAGCAGATGGAAAAATCTGTCTATTTCTAACTCTGATTTTAGAATAAACAAATATTTTTAAAAACTCATAAGTTTATTACACATACATTGTGTAATTTAGAAAGATATGCCTCATTCATGGGCTAGTGTCCATTTAAGTAATCATCAAAGTTAAAAACCACACACATTTTTTTCTTTTGCTATGTCTACTAATTCATTTTTTTCTAGTTTAGATTTAACTCTAAATATTTATTTCCAAAGTATATCTTAAATACAGAAGTACTGACCAGGCCTTTAAAAAAAATAATTTCTAATAATTTACAATATCAATTTCAGTCAGTATTTTAACTAAATACGTGTTGACATCCATACTGATTTGATTTTGTTTTACAAAAATGTTTTTAGAAGGCACAAAAAAATTCATCAGGTCAAAATTTACAAATTTCGTATCAACAGATATGGAAGTAAAATGAAGTAAGCATTCTGGTAATACATTTTTGTTTTGAAAAGAGCTACAAAACCTTACCTGTCCACAGATTCACTACACTGTACCTATTTTGACCATGTGTGTTTTAAAGTATATAACAATACATTTCTAGATATTTTAAAGTGGAGCATATTGAAGACAGTAAGTATTTACCACAGAATATATGTTTTGAATAGCATATTGGCTACTATTTCTAATTTCTAAAGCCATAAGAAACACATTTGTATTTTCAAAAAATAGACTCTTTTGCTTTCTTTAAAATTATGTACAGACCACAATTTCATACAATTTCATAGACTGAGATCTTTTCCAGGGATGAATTTAAATTCTCACTTTCTATGAAATAACTGATATATGAGTGCAAGAAAAATACTCACTGGCTGAAGCCTGAGGTTGAATACGAGGTATTCCTCCATTTGGCACTTGAAAATTTGAGTCACTTCTGCTGCTTTTTACTGAATCAACTTGCGTATTAGATGTTCGAGACAGATTTGGAAGACTGCGTCTTAGTTTTTCTACAATAAATAGAATTTTCATTAAAATTAAATCATTCAGATGGACAGAATTAAAATACTAATGAGAATTTTAAAATCTATTTAAACACCCTGCATACTTCAGAAAAACAGTTGCTACGTACCTTCTTCTGGAAAAAAAAATCCCCAAAGTTAACTCAGTTACCATTTAAAGGAAGAAAAAGAATGACAAGCCATGTATTGAAATATATGTTTAAATAATCAAAATATAGGTCACTTCATGAGTAATAAAGCAAAAGAAATATTATCAAGTAAAATTAAATTCACTTCTGGCAAAAACTTCATTACTTTAACACTGAATATGATAATTTTGTTCCATAAATATTCCTTTATAAATTCTGCTTTATTTTACCTTCATTTTTAACATTGCTCGTCTGTAAATCTGTGGGATGACCTTGAAGTGAAAGGCGAGGCTGCTGTAAGCGGCTAATCATAGGCTGTGGGGACACTCTAGTATATTCTATTCCCCGAGCAGGAGATCGTGAACGAGGTGAATTTCTGGGTGACTGCTTAGGTGATGGTCGAGGTGAATTGCGTGGTGATGGTGAAAACCTGTTAACAGCAGGGTATACCGCATGATGCATATTGTCATCTTCATCATCTAAACTTTGTGCATCAAGTTCCTGATCACTAAAAGTACCCCGTCTTGTAGAATTGCAAGATGAACCAGAACTACGCCGAGATGTGGTGGCTGCATATTCCTGTCGGAGACCTGGGGACAATCAAATGTGTTAATTTTCTAACTATAGAACTCGATAACTTAAAATTTTAAATGAAAAGATAACCATTGAGAAATTCAAACAGTGTATAAAGTGCAAAGGAAACTTTATTTATACTTTCAGATACCCTCCTATATAAGGAGGTGTAAGCCACATCTGAACATTATTTTTAAATTAAATGAATATCCCTAAATACTTACTCAATTTCAAGATTTCTTCTTGAATCTAAAATACAAATTAGAAGGTGGAACTGTAAGTTTACAAATATTTCTACTCCTCAAAAGTGGTAATCCAGGGCCCGGTGGCGTGGCCTAGCAGCTAAGGTCCTTGCCTTGAACGCGCCGGGATCCCATATGGGCACCAGTTCTAATCCCGGCAGCTCCACTTCCCATCCAGCTCCCTGCTTGTGGCCTGGGAAAGCAGTTGAGGATAGCCCAAAGCCTTGGGACCCTGCACCCGCGTGGGAGACATGGAAGAAGTTCTTGGATCCTGGCTTCAGATCGGCATATCATCGGTCGTTGCACTCACTTGGGGAGTGAATCATTAGACGGAATATCTTCCTTTCTGTCTTTCCTCCTATCTGTATATCTGACTTTGTAATAAAAATACATAAATCTTAAAAAAAAAAGTGGTATTCCAAATTTGAAACTAATATTAAAGGAACATTTAAAGAAGAGAACTAGTGAACAGAATATACATGAGTGAATAAACAGACTCACTGGATACTTAAGCTTGGTACAGTTTTACTCATAAAGGTGAAAAGTACCAGAGAAATTTTATTCCCATACCAGGAGCTCAATGGTTGGGTATAAATGACCCTTCAACTGCTTAATTGCCTTTAAGCCTTCATTTATAAAATAAGCTGAAGGGACCACTGTGGTGCCTCATGCTGTGCCAACCTCCCATATGACTGCTGGTGAGGGACAGATGCCCACCTCTAATTCAGCTCCCAGTCAAAGTCCCTGGGAAAGTAGCAGCAGATGGCATGGGGCTCCCTGCCAAGTATGTGGGAGCCCTAGCTGAAGTTCTAAACTCCTGGCATTGGCCTGGTCCATCCCTGGTCACTGTAGCCATTTGGAGAGTGAACGTGCACTCTCTCTATCTAAATAGCTTTACCCTATATATATATATATATATATATATATATATTTCAGTTTTTGAGTCACTCCATGACGTTTCCCAGGATGTACATCAGGAGCAAGCTAGAAGTGATCGCTGAGTCTACACTCGAACCCAGACACTCGATGTAAGACATTGGTGTCCCAAGCAGTGACTTAACCACCATCCCAAACATCTGCCTCTGACTGAGTCTAAAAAGTCAGGGTCCAAAGCAGAAATGAGTTTACTTTAAGGTACGGATTCAGGCAATATTCCTGAGGATTAGAGTAACAGCTGAATCGGTGAGGACCAGCACAGAGTGACACACAGCGTGTGTCAGTTAGACACTAAGCATACTATTCCTTTCTTTGTTCCTCACAAAATAAACCTGCTCCAGGTAAAAAGGGACAAACAAGTGTGTATACGGTTAATAAGCCTCTGAAATGTCCATTTCAAAGTTTCTCCTTTCACAACATTACTACTACTACAAACTTAAAGACACAATCCATGACAAAATTATAAAAAACCAAATTTTTAATAAATGAAAATACTTACTTTCTTCCTGCATTCGGGCTAAAATCTGCACATCTGTTACATCATTTAGCTTATAATTGGATCCAATGGAGTCTTCATCTAATTCCGAAGCACTTAACTCACTATCTATTGAGGACTGAGGACTGAGGGGAGGATTTCTGTCGGATGAGCTTTTCAAGTTACCTTAAACAGAAAAAAAAATGTCAAGCTTTCGTAAAGAAAAATATAAACATGTTTTGCAATTAATGTGAAATTAAATCTTTTGAATCAGCTCATAATTATTCTGCCTTTTCTCAAATACTGAAAATAGAAACTGACCTCATTAAGGAGGAGAGGACTATCAAGACTCTGTCATACACTATGGCATAAACACAAAACACATTTTCATGTAAGCATAAATTACTTAGCTCTTAAAGAATAATTAAGCTGGGCCCGGTGTGGTGGCGCAAGTGGTTAAGGTCCTCGCCTTGCACACCCGGGATCCCATATGGGCACCGGTTCTATCCCGGCAGCCCCGTTTCCCTTCCAGCTCCCTGCCTGTGGCCCGGGAAGGCAGTCGAGGACGGCCCAAAGCTTTGGGACCCTGCACCCATGTGGGAGACCCGGAAGAGGCTCCTGGCTTCGGATTGGCATAGTATTGGCTGTTGCGCTCACTTGGGGAGTGAATCATCGGATGGAAGATCTTCCTCTCTGTCTCTCCTCTCTGTATATCCGCCTTTCCAATAAAAAAATAAAATAAATCTTTAAAAAAAAAAAAGAATAATTAAGCTTTCAACACAGTGTCTGACGAGCAGTCGGTGTTTAGTAACTACATGTGAACAGATTCAACCTCTACAAAATAGTCAATGAAACTGCTCCACAAGCTTTCTTCAAAACTGTCATTAACATTGTCTTTTCTTTGAATAAAAGCATTTATTTTTCCTAAATGAGAAAACTGTAATTTGATGCAAATTAAATTATAATCTGAGATAAATTCTCTAGATTTAGGAACAGATCAAAAGAACATCACACTAACTTCTCTTATATCATTTTCACAAAATTTCTTTTTTCCAAATTAGTAATGGGGTCCAAGAAATTCTTTAATTTTTAGAAGTGAAGCATAAAAAAGTGTGATGAAGAAAATGACTGCATAGAAAAAGTATTTTAAAATATCACATGATATCCTATAAGCATGGATAATTTTTATGAGTTATTTATAGCTTAACAAAAGCTTTCTGGGCCCGGCGCGATGGAGCGGTGGTTAAGGTCCTCGCCTTGCACATCCAGGATCCCATATGGGCGCCGGTTCTAGTCCCGGCAGCCCCGCTTCCCTTCCAGCTCCCTGCCTGTGGCCCGGGAAAGCAGTTGAGGATGGCCCAAAGCTTTAGGACCCTGCACTCTTGTGGGAGACCCAGAAGAGGCTCCTGGCCTCGGACCAGCATAGTATCTAGCGGCTGTTGCGCTCACTTGGGGAGTGAATCATCGGACGGAAGATCTTCCTCTCTGTCTCTCCTCTCTGTATATCTGCCTTTCCAATAAAAATAAAATAAATCTTTTAAAAAAAAAAGCTTTCTGAAATTTATATGATCATTCTAAACCAAAAGCAGGGCAGAAAGCAAGGCAGAGGTCGTGCAGAAGAGTTTAACGTGCTACTAAGGAAATGATCTCACCAACCACCAACTTTTAATAAAGAACAAAATCCTATTGCTACCACTAATGCTTCTAATACTAGATTTGAAACAATTGCTTCCTCAAATTCTTCACCATAAGAATCAGTTCCAACATGTGAGGCACGTAAGCAGAGCCAAGGCAAACACAAAATAATTAATATTTATTTTATCAGTGAAATAAGAGCTACATATATGATGGAAAAAATATAAGGTTATGCTTAAATAATGTCTAAATCAATTTTTAAATTTTAAAACCAATCTTGTAGATTAAACTTTTTGATTTGTTTTTATCATAAGTAAAAATCAGTGGCAAAGAACAATCTATATACACTAAGTAAGAGCAGGGTCAGTAAAGTGGTTAGACCAGGGAGTATATAGGTCAAAAACTTGTAGCAGCTAATATTTTCATTTTCAATAGTAACAGTCATAGCAAGAGCAGAAAAAAAGTAACTGAATGAATTACAGAGAAGAGTAGGGGCTACACAGTAACTGTCAAACACAGGAGTAAAGCAGAACTTTCCTCAGTTCATGGTAATTTTTCCATCCCGTAGCACTCACTGTCCCATTACTCTTTTGACAGGCTCACATTAAATTTACACTATAATTTAACTGCATCATCAAAACTTATTTTAATTCCTTAAAAAAAAAAACAACTGTTAAACTCAGTAGCTTTACGACCTTTAAGCTGTTATAAGGATATTTCAATCAGAATAACCAGCCTTGCAAACTGATTTAATTGAGCCAGTTTGTTTTGTTTTTTTTAAACTTAAGTAAGAGAGTGGATAATGGACACCGAAGCACATTTGGATAAGAGGAATAGTTCTGGAGTTCCACAGCACAGGGAGGTGACTACAATTCACAAGCATCTATTAAGTACTTTGTGCAGAACTAGGAGTTCAAAGGCTCCAATCAAAAATAAAGAAATGAAAATACAGTTATCTCGATTTGATAAGTACAAATTGTATAGCTGTATTGAAATATCACATTGTACCACATAAAATGCACAATTTTTAGGAGATAATTAAAAAGAAAACTGCTTTGTTTAAAACAAACAAACTTATAGGCCAAGCTATAGAAGGCTACATGGATGCAATCTAGCTTTGTACCCTTTATGCCTAGTACTAACCTGGAAGTAGCTCTACAGTGAGACTTTCTCTAATCAACTAAATTTCACACACACACACACACACACACACACACACACACACACACACAGAACCTAAATTAATTACTAATAATCAAGTTATTTTCTGAGCTGCAGGCGTAACTCTTTAGTACTATGGTGGTTGTTTCTTAGTAACTCCATTTTGCTTTCTCCTTACCTGAATTTCCAGGAAGTATGAGCTGTTTGACTATAGGAGGTCGCACTGGGGTTGAGGATGGAGAGTTGAAGCCACTGCTGTATGGGCTACTGGCATTTGGACTATAAGGACTCGCATAACTCACAGAGTTGAAAGGATTATTATACAAATTCTGCCTCTTGAGAGCTGCGTAAGAGAGAAAACCAAATTTAGTGGCTTGAAGTAAGTTGACATTTAAAAGTTTTATTAGAGAATTCATTAAGTCATTTTCATTAACTTTTGAATACTTCCTGTATATCATATTTCATAATCCCTATAAGACTTCATTACCTTAAATGGGCTACATAAATAAAATAGTGCATACATGAAACAATGAAAAAAACATAAGAATGTCTCCTAAACAGATTATTAGCCACTCAACCAATCCAGTTATATCCTTTTGGTAAAATCATTCTTCTTAAAATTAAATTGTATCTATTATCATTGGAAAGGCGGGTAGAGAGAGAGAGGAAGATCTTCCATCTGATGGTTCACTCCCCAAGCGGCCACAATGGCTGGAGCTGAGCCATCCAAAGTCAGGAGCCAGGAGGAGCTCTTCCAGATTTCCCACGTGGGTGCAGGGTCCCAAAGCTTTGAGCCATCCTCAACTGCTTTCCCAGGCCACAGGCAGGAAGGTGGATGGGAAGCAGGGCCTCCAGGATTAGAACCGGCACCCATACGGGATCCTGGATGTGCAAGGCAAGGACTTTAACCACTATGCTATTGCACTGGGCCCAATAAAAATCATTCTTTAATAAGCATTACACAATGCTCAGTGACCTCTAGGGATATCTGTTTCCTTTCATTACTCTAAAATGAAAGGATTAAATTTTTTAATGATTTATTTACTTTTGTCTGAGAGAGATATTTACAGACAGAGAATGGGTGGAGGTGGCAGAGACCTTCATCTACTAGTACACTTCTTAATGCACCAACAGTCAGGACTGAGTTGAATAAAGGTCAGGAGCCAGGGCGAAGGACTTGGGCCATTCTCTGCTGTTTCTCCAGGCCATAAATAGGGAACTGGATCAGAAGTGGAGCAGCTGGGGCTCCAAATGCCACCCATACGGAATGCATGTGCTGCGGGTGGAGGATTAGCAGTCGGAGGATTAGCATACTACGCTATGACAGATACATTAAGATTAAAAAAAAAAAAAAAACACTTCTGCTCTTTTTAAAAACAAAAAAGCTCCTCCCTACTCTAGAATGTTTCTGTCAAAAATGTGCTTTGTTCATAATTATATAAATAGTACCACAGAGAGGCAATCATTGGGTCTAATGGTTATTAAAATATCAGGTAAAATGATCAAATCCCAAACTGAAGGGTGCAGGCGGCAGCAAGTGTTGGCTCAAGAAGTTGGGCCCTGCTATCCACATGGAGATCTGGACTAAGCTCCTGGCTCCAAGCTTCAGCCTGGCATAATCCCAGAGATTGTGTGCATTTTGGCAGTGAACCAGCAGATGAGAGCTCTGCCTGCCTACCTCTTTTTCTACCTTTCAAATAACAACATAAGTAAATAATGATTTGGGTAAGATATAAAATGAAATTATCCACAAGGAAAATTAATACTTAACATAACATTTTTCTTTCTATATGGACAGAGACAAAAGCAGTGTCGGGAAAACACAAATATGTCATAATGCTTTCTCTGCAGATGCCTGCAGCCGCCAAGCAGTGTCAGCAGAACAAGAACAACCACAGGACAAAATGAAATGAGTATGATAAAGGGGTAAGAGCTATGGAAAGCAAAAGACAGTAGTTATTACAACTGAGAAAGCAAAAGACAGTTGTTATTACAACCCAGAGAACCTGGATAATACTTTTTAGAAAAATAAACACTGCAGCAGTCTTGAAAGGACAAGCAGTTATGACAGGCCACTGAAAGCACTCAAAATCTGCTATGTTCTTTCAGCTGTGTTCATAAGATTAGCAAAAGCTGTGTCTTGAACATGCAGCGCACACACAGGAAGAAGAGCAAGCAAGCCTGCATGGCAAAGCACAAGGAGGGACAAAACAGGAACATGTGGCTGGGACCAGGTCACAGACAGGAAAACTACAGCTAGAAGCAAGACAGCTATCACCCAATCAGCTGGGGGAAAAAATCTGAAGGAGATTTTCGCTTCCACTAGACTACAATGAATTAGGTAGTATACAGTAATTAGAAACACAAGAAAAAAAATGTAGCTATTAACTGAAAAAAAAAAAATCACTAGAGGAGAAAAAAAAAGATGGCTAAAACTTTTGGTTTGGAAAGATGGAATATTTGTCTTCTGGTTAGTTGTGTAGTTTGAGGTAAGACACACCTTATACCTATTTAGTATGTAAAATATTCCTGGAAATATCAATCCAAGTAAAAACGGGATGGTTATTTTCTTGCCATCACTTTACTGCTCCTCAGCCTCCTATCAAGCTTACTTTCTTTTACTCGGTTATTAATCCCTAGCATTTCAGATCCTTTTATCAATGTATTCTGTACCATTTTCTTTCTCCTAAGAAATCTCAATTACACCCAAAACAGCAATTAAAACAGACCCAAGAATCCCTATTATTTATTTACACTGCCCATTTAACATCCCTCTCTGAATGCGTATTCAATGATCAACACATCAAATTCACCTCAAGAGGACATGCATTGTGTATGATGGTTCAGACACCTGAGTTCCAAATGGTTGTGTGGTTTTGATCCATGGCTGCTATTTTTTGTAAACATATTTGCTTATTTTTATTTGAAAGGCAGGATTATACAGAGTAGGAGACAGAGATCATCCACCTGCTGGTTCACTCCCCAAATGGCAGCAATAGCCAGAGCTGAGCTGATCTGAAGCTAGGAGCCAGGAACTTCTGTTATCTCCCGTGTGGGTGCAGGGCTCAATGACTTGAGCCATCCTCTGCTGCTTTCCCAAATGGTTACGTAGGGAGCTGGCTCAGAAGTGGAGCAGTTTAGACATGAACTGGCACCCCTATGGGATGCCAATGGCACAGGTAGAGGAATAGTATGCAGGGTGCTGGTCCCTTGGCTCAGCTCTCGACTCCAGCTTCCTGGAAGGCAGCAGTGATGGCTCAACTGACTGGGTTCCCACCTCCCATGAGCAAGGTGGACTGAGCTCCTGGTTCCCAGCACCACGACATTTGGGGGAATGAATCAGCAGATGCAAAAAATTCTAACCTATGATCTCTTACTCAACTCTTAATTCTGTTCTAGGAGTTCTCTCCCTCAAAATGGTAACAATATACATCCTGTAACACAAACTAGAACTGCAGAAACCACTGCTGATAGTCTCTCTTCTTCCTTCTTCATATCTAACTTGTTTAACTTTTACTATTATATGCTTTCAATCCTATTACCTCCCCCTCTGATATAACATATATACATATACATACAATCATAAACATATATGTATTTTTAATATCTTTTAATATGTATTTTTTAAATCCATGGTTTCTGCCTCATAACTCCCTCCATAAAATAAGCCATAAGAATTAAAATCCCTCTTCCTCCACCAAGGTAGCATATAGAAACTAATCTGCTACAGTTTTGTCTTGTAGATCGCCAGAAGTTACTTGATCTACCTTGTCTGACAGTAGATAAGACACTTATTTCAGAAGGGGCCTTGTTCCACACTCAGGAAAAAAGAATGTTTACTCCCTAAATGAATAAAACAAACAAGTGTGGGTCAGGCTGAAGCCAGGAACCAGAAACTTCTGGGTCTCCCACACGTGTGGTCGGGGCCCAAGCACATGTACAATCATCATTTGTCTTCCCAGATGCATCACTAGAAAGCTGACTGCAAATGGAGTAGCTGGGGCTTGAACTTGGCACATACAAGATGCCAGTGTTGGAAGCAGCAGTTTAAACCACCAAGCCACAATGCCAGCCCCTTTCCAATTACAATTTGATATCACTGTCCCTACTTCAAAGCTACACAGTGAGGTCTCCATAAAAACACCAGACATAGATTTCAGGGGATTTTTGAATAGCTGAACTGTGTCATACCTCTTCCCTTAATGCATCCTTTCATCTGCATTCTTTGCAATATCCTATATAATAAATTGGTAAATGTATTTTCTTGAGGTCTATGCATAATTCTGGCAAAATACTGATTCTGTGGAGGGATTAATTGGTCCATTTACAACTGATTAGTCAGAAGCATAGATTACCTGAAATTAGAATAGCTATCTGAAAGGGGGTAGAGGAAGTGATACTGTGGGACAAAATCTTACACTTTTAGTGCAAGCAGACATCAGATGTGGACTAACAGTACTGCCAGCTGGTGTCTGTTACAGAACTGTTTGCTTGTGGGTGGAAGAAATCTCCATACCTTTTGAACTCACAGAAGACTACTATGGTAACTGCTGTGTGAGAGTACAGAAAAAAATTTTTTTCCAACACCCAATTATCCTCATCATCAACCCTGTCAAAAGCAGAGCATACTACTTCACTATTTGCTCTCCAACTACTACTCATCTTTCCAAAACAGAAATTCCTGCTGGCACATACCATACCACTTTGGCATAAAGCTTCAATATTTCCCACTGCTCTTAGAATCAAGTCTAAAAACACTTCGTATGTTCTATAAAGGCCTTACACAGTCTACCTCCTACCTCTCTGGCCTTAGTTCATGACAATCTCATCCTTACTCTTCTGTCTCTCCTGGTTTGTTCTGACCCTTGTATATACCATGCTCTCTTCCACTACTCCTTTGTAAATGCCCTATCTGGAATGCCCTATTCCTCCTTTCTCTCCTTAGGACATATTTTTCTTAATCTTCATGTCCGACAACATTGTTTGGGCTAAATCTCCTATTTCTGAAAGCACTACACACCACTTTTAATTATCTGTCATCAGTTATAAAAATCATTCATATTGGGCCCGGTGTGGTGGCACAAGTGGTTAAGGTCCTCGCCTTAAATGCCCGGGATCCCATATGGGTGCCGTTTCTATCCCCGGCAGCCCCGCTTCCCATCCAGCTCCCTGCCTGTGGCCCGGGAAAGCAGTCAAGGACGGCCCAAAGCTTTGGGACCCTGCACTCTTGTGGGAGACCCAGAAGAGGCTCCTGGCTTCGGATCAGCATAGTATTGGCTGTTGCGCTCACTTGGGGAGTGAATCATGGGACGGAAGATCTTCCTCTCTGTCTCTCCTCTCTGTATATCTGCCTTTCCAATAAAAAAAAATAATAAAAATAAATCTTTAAAAAAAATCATTCATATTAATAAGTTTCTCCTATAAATTCAATGATTGTAGGTATAGTATTCATGATTTCTTACCATGTATTCTACTACCCCTTTCCTAAGTCTGATATATAACAGGCCTCTTTTTTTTTTTTAAGACTTATTTTATTTTTACTGGGAAGTTAGATATACAGAGAGGAAGATCTTCCGCCCAATGATTCATTCCCTAAGTGGTCGCAACGGTCAGTGCTGCGTCCATCCAAAGCCAGGAGCCAGGAACCTCTTCTAGGTCTCCCACATGGTTACAGGAACCCAAGGCTTTGGGCCGCCCTCCATTGCTTTCTCAGGCTGCAGGGAGCTGGATGGGAAGTGGAGCTGCTGGGATTAGAACCACCACCCCTATGGGATCCCAGCACGTTGAAGGCAAGAACTTTTAACCATTAGGCTATAGCACTGGGCCCTAAAAAAGGTCTCAATAAAAACTAACAGAATGAATGAGACTAATTTGCAAAAAAAATGATAGTGGAGACTATATGAATAAATAGAAACATCACAACAGAGAGACCCTTGATAAGAGAAATGTCAGACAACCATAATTTAAACAAGAGGTGGGCATGTACCTCTGGTGCCAGCATTCCATGTGGACACTGGTTTGAATCCTGGCTGTTCTACTTCCTATCCAGTATCCTACCAATATTCCTGGGAAAGCAGCAGAAAAGGACCCATGTATTTGGGCTCTTACATCCACACGAGAAAAACAGAAGAAGCTCCTGACTTTGGATTGGCCCAGCTCCAGCCACTCCAGCCACTTGGCAAGTAAATCAACAGGTGGAAGATCTCTCTCCTTTACCCCCTTTTCTCTGTAACTCTGATTTTCAGATAAGTAAACCAATATTTCTTAAAAAGATAAGCAAAAGTAGGGAAGAGGGATAGAAATTAATGTTTAATAAAAGTATCAAAAATTTTGTATGAGATGATGGAAAAGTAAAGTTTGGGATAAGTTCTGTCCATCTGGAGGAAAATGGTGACAGCACACAGCAATGTATATGTCCCTAATGTCCCTGAGCTTTACATTTTTAAATATCAAAAATGAAAAATTTGGCTACGTAAATTTTTACTATAATTAAAATTTTAAAAACCGGAAAGATCATAACCTTCAAAGAAGATAAAAAACAGCAAGCAGTGCAACAGAGGGCAAAAAAGGCACGGGTACTTCCATAAAAACAACTTAGGTGGTAGCACTGAAGGAAAGCAAGATGTGACAGAGCAGAAGCTGTTTTCTTGGTACATTCAAATAATACTGCAGTTCCTGAGGAATTCTACCTTATCACAAATTATTTTAAAGTGTCACTAGAAAAAGAAATGTTTAAGATTATCAAGTTCAAATTTGCAAAAGCTAATTTTTCCCATTAAATTAAAAAACACATATATATATTCATAACTGCAACTATTGTTCTGTCTATACTGCCATAAAATTTAAATATTGTTACACAGAGCTGGTTCTTGATTATACCTCACTTACAGTCCTACCATCTTTAATACCCTTGTTAAAATAGAGCAGAAAATAACCCAGGCTATCAGCTGTTTTGTACTTTTACTGAGACACAGGCAAAGCCACAGCCATTCATTTACATAGTGTATATGGCTTCTCATCCTGCTGGAAGATCAATGTTAAACAACCACAACAAAGACCTTATAGCCCACAAAAAATAAACCGTTCGCTCCCTGGCTCTTTACAGAAACCTCAGTCAACCTCTTTCATGTTTTATTTACTTGTTTATCTTATCCCTTCTATGAGAATAAAAGCTCCATGAAGGCAGACATTATTTGCTTTATTCAGTGTTACATCCTCAAGATTAAGAACATGGCTAGGCCATCAACATTCACTGTTGAATAATAAAAATTCCTAAATAAGTTATAAATCATATTTCTCTTATAAGGTAAAATACTTAAAGTACAAAAAGTGTTTCTATGAAAATTCTTAATAAATTTCACAATATCTAAATAAAATTGGCTATAAAATTTCCAGTTATTTCATGTACTAACTTGTCTACATCTAACTTAAGCACCAGAGTATAATTCTAAAAACAAATAGATATAAAGAAAAAGCATTTTTAAAAAAACATAAAACCTATTGCTTTATCTTTTTCTAAAAACATTTATTTAGGACACTCGACTGTCATTGTAAAGGCAAAATCATGACACAGTTGAATAGCAGACTGATGGTCTTACGACTGCTTATGAAGGACTATACTATCATAATAATATGGGGAAATCAGTCGGGGGGGGGAATTTGTGGAGGGAGGTAAGTGAAATCCAGAGCCCATGGAATTGTATCATAAAATTAAAAATAAAATAGAAGGAAAAAGATTGATTTCTTTGAACAGCAGGGTTTACAGAGAGAGAAGGAGAGAAACAGAGGAGAGACCTTCTGTTTATTGGTTTACCCTACAAATAGTCTCAACAGCCAGAGCCAGTCCAAAGCCAGATGCCAGGAGCAGAAGCCAGGAACTTCTTCCAGGTCTCCCATGTGGGTGCAGGGTCCAAGTATTCGGGCATCTTCCACAACCTTTCCAGGATATTAGAAAGGAAACAGACTGGAAGTGGAGGAACAGGAAAAGAACTGGTGCCCTCACAGGAATTGCAGGCAGTGGTTTTATATACTGTGTCACCAGTCCCTCAAGGTATATCATCTTCAGAGAAAACGAAACTCACAAAAGTTGAATACTGGGAAGAGTTTTTATTTTGTATTTGTATTTTTTTTTTTTTACTATATCAGAGAAAATATCAGTCTTTTATTTTAAGTTAGTTTTAACGTGTAGTAGAAAAGGAACTGTCAAAGATCTTATGATTTCATGCAGCAATAACATAAGAAGGTAACAAGTATATGGCAAGAACTTTCATGATGGTATGCTCAGTGAAATAAAAAAAAATGCTAACAAACAAGAAAATCCTTGCTTAAAAAGGAAAAAAAGGTTCAATCAACATTTTTTTTTTTTTGGATGAAAAAAGCAAAGATAAATTTCCAAGAAAAATCACACACATACCTGACATAGTTTGATCAAGTTTGTGGATAAGAGACTTTTTAGCACATTCAACATCAGGACTTGGGTAATCCAAAACTTGCCTGCACCAAACTAATGGACTAACCGATTTCTGCATTGGTGTAAGTTTTTTCTTTGGTGATGAATAAAGCCTAGAAGAAAACAAAACAAAACAAAAAAACCAAAAGGATAACATTTGTTATTAAGCACAAGGTATACAATAGATTCTTTGGGAATGATTGTGGGGTAGGCAGTAAAGTGATAGTGCATGTTTAAAATCACCCATATTTATTTAGTGCACAGGAAGAAAAAAATTATAATCACACTATAAACTCAAGCCTCAAGTACTTAATAAATATAAAGGACATATTTTAAATTATTTTTCTCTTTTATTCCCAACACAAAACCCAAAGAAAGCATTCATTTTTCCAGTTTTGCTTTGTCCTAGATATGATTGATTCTGTATCACTGAAAGTAATCCAGAAGGTAGAAAGACGAGCTAAATATCTTGGTCATTTTCCTTGCGACCACAAATTCAGACCAAAATTCTACCATTAGTGAATCAGAGCTTTCAATTTAGCAGTATTTAATCAATAGTCTTCCATTCAATTATTATACCTGACAATAGCAAAGTCCTTATTAAATCCTTAATACCCTAATGTGAATCATTCTATGAAATGACTTCAGTTATAGGAAAGAACAGGGCAAGTGCTTCTCGGCCTTTTGGCTAAGATCAAGTGTAGGAAAGAACAGGGCAGCATTTCCTCAGTTCCTAAGCAATGTATCCAAAAGGAAAAACACGGAGGAGAAACAGACAAGAGGTGCACTTAAACTTCCTCTCCCCAGTTTGTTCTCAGATTAGGCTGCAGTACACTGGTGGTTGTTAATTTATTTGAAGTATGACCTTATGTAAAAAATGTGAATAGCTATTTGATTTCTAACCAGGGTTTTCTTCAAATTAAAGTATTTTAAGTAGAATTTATGAAACAAACCACAACTATGCTTTGATACAGCCACACAGTTAGATGCTTCAACAAGGAAAAGAGATAATAATTTCACAGTTCACATTAATCAAGCTAGGATACTATTAAATGCTGTATTTTTTAGTGTAAGTATTTAAGTATCTCTCTGTAACACCAGCAGTGAAAATATAGACTTTTTCCAGCTCTTTTGTCAAATTAAAATTAGTAAGTGTAAGGCACCAACACACTAGTTGGAGAGTGTGCAGGCCGGGGAATATAGGCAGGCCACACCTGTGCATACCACCATGTTAGTGCCTGCAGCTTGGGTCCTGGGGTGTGGGGCACTATGGGCCTTTGGCTGGACAGAGGGGCAATGCTAGGGTCCCAGGACCTGCGGCTCACAATAAACCAGGAAACAGGGATGGGTGCACTCTGCACTCCAACACAAGATCCTGAATATGTATCTTCCTCACCTATTCAATGAACTTAAAAAAAAAGTACAAGGAATAAGGGTAAGCTTCAAAATGTTAATGTTCAGTGAAAGAAACCAGACACAAAAGAATACATACAGATTACTCGGCCGTGTATATAAAATGTATATTAAATGTGTGGAAAAGGCCACGGAGAATAAAATAACTAGTAATTGCCTAGGATTTGAAGTTAGCTATACAAATTAGGTGTCTTTTAATGATGATATGTTATTCAATTAAATGGTAGTAATGATTTGTTTTGATAGTGTAAATAAACTAAATTAAGTGCATAACTTTGTGATAATGCAGATTACACAAGCATGGGTAAATTTTATGCGGTGAAAATTGCACCTTAATAAAACTATTTAGGAAATTATCAGGCATTTTCAGTATCTTTTAAAATATAGGAACTAGGCTTGGGGGCAACTGACACTCCCTGCAGTGTGGCAACTGTGGGGGGTGCCCCTGCCGGGTCGGACCCAATGCGGGGGACTCACGCCAAAGACACTGCCACAAGGCAGTGAACGAGTCCCCTCGGCCTCCCCCAGGGCGGCCAGTGCACCAAGTGGTGCCAGGCTGCCTGCTGCCGCCCGGAAGGGCAAACTCTGGGTTTACAAGATATGTACTTGCTGGGCCCAGGGTCACTCATGACCTAAGACTAGTTTAGATGTAGGTGCAAAGTGAATTTTTCGGGTATATCTCAGTGACATGTCCATGAAGATTATAAGCAGGCACAAGGGGACCAAGACCTAGTGGTATGGGGGAAAGTGTCCAGAAGATAATTTTTATAAGACAGATGCAACAGCTCAATTATGAATACAGAGATGGATATTAGTATAAGAACATCAACTGATCACCATATACTAGCCCCACAACCGAAGCTATGAGGGGCCTCTTTGCAGTGTTGGGTACCATTGCCCGACTGAGAGTGTTGGAGTTGTGGAGTGTCACATTTTGGCAGGATCAAGACACTCTCCACACACAAGAGAACTTGGGCTGGGGAGGCTCTGTGGGGTTGTGTGGGCCCAACCCTTTGGAATAACAAGTCCCCCGGGTAGTTTCCCAAGCTGGGGATCAATGGTCTAAGCTAGGTGTGACCACGCATCTGACATCCACTCATGGTAAGGAATCCACAACAGTCAGGGTAGGTCAAGGCAGCATCACCAAATGTGCATCTTTAAACAGGATGTGGGGTGGCCGGGCAGCAACTGGAAGGGGACAGGAAGGGGCAGGGCTGAACAAACCTACTCGACAAGTAACAACAGAAAACAGGTTGGAGCACAGCTCATGCCTGGTAGGTCCTTGCACATACTGATCTGTTGAGGCAAGGCACTAAGCCACAGCATCCAGGGGCCACGACAAGTTGGAGGGGCTCTCCAAGCAGAGACAGACAACCACCCCGGCCTATACACTCTCTAAACGCAGGGCAGAGGCCCGGTTGGGGAAATAACACTACACCCTAGCTGGGTTGAGTTTCCCACCAAGGAGCGCATGGGCGGACTGAGGCTACATTCTGATCAGGATACGATCGTAATCTTACTTGGACACAATTTGTGTGACTGGATGGGAAGCACCAATCCATGCCAAATTCCAACACCATCTGTGACTCTGAGGACCAGGGAGGGTGAGTGACAGACTAGGTTATGGTCTCAGCCCTTACTGAACCATGGTGTGAGTTGGTAGGGGTATGAAGAGCCATGGCTGGGTTTGAAATACCCAACAACAAGAACCAGCTTGGTCGGAGGCACAGGCAGGAAAAGCCACTGTTCCTCCTAGATAGCAGGCGAACTGAGTAGTGTTTGGCTCATGGACCCACTGGTAGCGCGAAAACTGGCATTGGGAACAGGTTCTGTGAGGAAAGCCCGGCAACTTCATTCTGGCAGGACACAGTCCCATGCAGGTAAGCGCAAGAAGCACAATAGGGAACAACCCAAAACAGCAATGAAAATTATCCACTGGCATACACATGCATGGTAGGGGCAGATACCAGCTGAATCTGATTCACATTACTTCTGTGAATCTGAGCACCAGATCACAGAGTTTGGTCAAGCCAGGTTCGGTTTGCAACACATACCAGTACACAACAAGTAAGCCAAGGGAGATTGAGCCCGTACCAGATGTGGCTTGCAGCACACAACCAGCACATGTGACATCAGGGTTAGGAGGCAAAGCCAACAGGGAACGGGCAACGCCCTGCTGGATCACTACTTCCATTGGAAAGTGTGAAAAATACGGATGGGGGCATTCAGGACTTAGGCAGGACTAAGCCCCTGTGGGCCTCACGGTGAGCTGACTGTTCTGACTGGTGCAAGTTAAAATTAAGTGGGTTGAGGGGTGTTTGGATCTTAGCACAGCGTAGCTGGCAGAGGCTGGTACTATGAGCCAATTCTGACAAGTCAAATGCAAACTACCGAGACTGCATACTCTAGGAGTGGTGTGGCCTAGTTAGTGGAAATAGTATGGGCACCTCCCTCAGGGTACCACACCCGTCCGGACAGCACGAAACCCAGGCTAGGAGCAGGGTGGCTTGACAGAAAGGCACCTGCCAGTGGTGTATGGGCTGGAATAAAGGTTGGGTTGGGTTTGAACCAGGCTTTCAATGTTCCATTGAACGTGTGCGAGAGCTAAATGGGAGTGGGACAGACTGGACAAGCCTGCAGTGCATACTGGCAAGCATGGGAACCAGGGTAGGGGGCAGAACTGGTAGGGTTTTGGGAGTCGCCTCAACTGGCTGCAGCTCCAACTGTTTGCATGAAGACCGAGTATGAAGTGGGGTAGAATCGAGCTGGACTACAACAACCCATTGGTTCACAAGGAAGCCAGGCTGGAAGCCCGAACGGACCCATAATCGCAAACGACCACATATGCATAAGCTGATTGGTGTGACGAACGTGTTCGAGTCTTCGTACTTGCAAACTCACTCAAGAATCAGATCTGGGATCAACTCAATGAAGTTTCTTTGGATATTTTCACGAACTGAACTGCAGATCTGGAAACCCCAACCATCAAGAGACTGTCACCAGTGGACTCTGATAGTTTCATTACGGTTGGGACGGAGAGATTGGCAGCAATCCAGAACTGATGAACTATCAAATTGTATGAGCAGACCCTAGGAGCAGCCTCTTTTGGGGATGGGGATGTTGTGGGAGGTAGGGTTGGCTTTCCCCTTTGTTACTCCCTAATCCCTAAGATACAGGGCAAAATGATTATATTAGTGTGGAAACAATGATATTACCCACTTTCACCCTGTAGCCCGTGACCCTTTGTACCCTAATAAACTAAGATTATTAAAAAAATATATATATAGGAACTATTATAAACTATATAAAATATCAATAATTCTAAATCAGTGAAATTAAAACAATGTTTACTTACCACAAATTCTCTAGTTACCTTTTTTTTTTAATGGTACCATAATTCTTTCAGTAACAAAAACAAAAAGAACATTTTTAGACTCTTTTTTATGTCCTACCCTTATCAATAAGTAATCTATTTATTTATATTGGAAAGTGAGATATACAGAGAGGAGGAAAGAGAAAGGAAGATCTTCCATCCCATGATTCTCTCTCAAAGTAGCTGCAACAGCAAGAGTTGAACAATCCAAAGCCAGAAGCTAGGAGCTCCTCCAGGTCTCCCACGTGGGTACTGGGTCCCAAGGCTTTGGGCCCCGTCCTCCATTACTTTCCCAGGCCACAAGCAGGGAGCTGGATGGGAAGTTTT